ATCCTGGGAGTTGAAGTCCACACCTCTTCAACTTGCCAGGGTTGAGAAGCACTGACTTATACAGTATAATACAATACTGTTCTGGCTTTCATACAAATTCAACTTAAAGACAGACCTTGGGAATGGAACTCGTTCTTAAACTGGGGACTTCCTGTCTTGATTCAGTTCAGTGATTGTTTGATTGCAGTTTTGGCAAACACCATTTAATTTTTCCCTTCTCACATTTGCATATGGAAAGGGGCATTTTGCCCCCAAATATAAGCAGCATAATTGCCTAGAAATCTAGACCTCTGATACTCATTGGAGATGGTTCTGGGTTTTTTCATCGCAGCTTTCCCCAGCCTGGAGGTGGTATCCTCCAGGTGCGCTGGGCTTCTACAGTTCCCAGACAGAAAAGACTATGGTGATGGAAATTCTGGGAGGCTGAACATGTAGCGTTCTGGGAGCTTTAAAATGTGGGGTTCTGGGAATTTTAAGTTGCTTTTCTGCGTGGTGGCTTTTTTTCCTGCTCAGCTGGTATTCCAATTGCATTTCCCCCCCCTCCATTCCAGTGAGATCAGCGAAATCACAAGTATCAAGAAAGAAGATGTAATCTCTACACTTCAATATCTGAACCTCATCAATTACTACAAGGTAAATTAACTGCTCTGTGGACTGTCTAGCATGGAGAGAAGCGAGAATAATTTGCATTGATTCCAGACGTAGGGCTTCTTTGTCACTCTTGATAGGACGTAAGACGGGTTGGCTACATTTTTCTGGAAAGGGGGGTGTGATGGTGGGGGACCTGAAAGTTGGATCACCCATCCTGAGGTATGGGAAGCTTAGCACCCCTTTGCCCTTATTGTTTTTTTCAAATGATAAATAGTCCAATTTTTGTGCAGCAGGAGAAATAACTGTGGTTGGTCACACAGTCAGCTAGTACCAAGTCCTTCCCAAGGACCTATATTATTATTAATTATTATTATTTCATTTGCTGCAAAAAAATTGGACTATTTATCATTTGAATAGTAATAATAGCCAGTTTGGTGTAGTGGTTAAACGGGCTGGAAACTGGAAGACCGTGAGTTCGAATCCTGCCTTAGGCATGAAGCCAGTGGGTGACCTTGGGCCAATCGCTCTCTCTCAGCCCTAGGAAGCAAGCAATGGCAAACCACTTCTAAAAATCTTGCCAAGAAAACTGCAGGAACTTGTCCAGGCAGTTGCCAGGAGTCCAAAATGACTTGAAGGCTCAACGTTATTATCATAAAAAATTTATATACCGCTCAACTCCCGGCGACTCTGGTGACAGTTCTGCTTGGCTTAATGCTGTTTCACTTGCTGTGAGAGGCAAAGATCTCCAGGCAGCAAACATTTCTCACGAGAACTTAAAACGTGTGTATACCTACATGACCCTATCTCCTCTCCAGGGCCAATATATTTTGACACTCTCAGAGGACATCGTCGATGGACACGAACGGGCCATGCTAAAGCGAATCCTGCGCATTGATTCCAAGTGTTTACATTTTACCCCAAAGGACTGGAGTAAAAGGGGCAAGTGGTGAACGCAAAGGCCTGGCCATTTGACCGGCAAAGGGGTGTTCCCAGGCCTTGGCATACAGCGGTAGCAGGATCAGGCTGGGCGCCCCGGACTCTGAAAAGCCTGCGCGTCCTGGACGGCCTTTTAGACGCAAGACTCTCGCGAGCCTTTGTGTACAGTAGTTGAAAAGCACAGTCGGCTTGAGTTCACACTGCTTGAATATTTATATGTTCCAACATTCCCACACGCACCCAGAGGCATCAGGCTGAAGGCCGTGGTGTCTAAGTGGGGCTGAGTCCCATGGTGCTCATGTACAGGGGAAGAACAGATTGTGGTGTCCCACTGGAGCAGCCGGACAGAACAGCTTCCCTCCAGCCGGCGGCTCTGGGTTGGAGACACAGCTGTCCGTGGCTGAGACCTGTGGGGCCAGCCTCCTGCCATAATGTGGGAGGACCCCTCCCAACCCCATCTCCAGCTCAGAAGAGATGGGGGGGTCTTTCTTTTGGTGTCTTCATCCAGGAAAAGCCTCGAGAGCCGAGGACAAAAATGGATATGCCCTTCGCAGAAACCAACCACAACTCACCTGATGTCTCTGATCAGAATAAATGAACAAAGATTTTTTTTAAGAAAAAAAAAGCCCCCCCAGGTTTGCCTTTATTTCTGTCATGTACTTCTTTTCTTTCCTTCAGCAGGGACACTCACTTTGGGAAGCAGGACCCCAAGAAAGTAGATTTGCAAATCAGGCTGTAGCCACAGAAAGGGTTAATTCCCCCCCCCCCCCCCCCCCCCCCC